CCCCCCTGCCCGGTCGCCGCCGTCTTGTACACTGACCTCCCTCTGCCGGTTGCCCTGCCTCACACAGGGACCGCGCGATGGTGGCCTTCTCCGTGGGCTCCATCTCGAAGAGTTACCTGAATGACGGGACCTCGGCCACGCCGAATGTCGTCCTCTCCGGCAACTCCAAGCGCCCCTTCAACCATGACATCTCTCTGCCGAAGGTGACCGTGACCCAGCTGTCCTCTGTGGTGCAGAGTCGCTGCGAATATGACACCATCGTGAGCGCCATCAACCCCCGGCGCCCGGAGGCCTTCTCCACGAACAGGCTTTTGGTATGCCCCCCTACGGAGCACCTTTTCGCCCCCTCCCCTCTGCGCCATTCTGACCAATTCCCCCTTTCGGCCGACCTCCCTCCACCCTCGCTAGATCACCTTCCCCGAGCGTGAGCTCCTGTGGGAGGGAGCCGCAATGGTCCCCGGCGCGGAGCAAGCCATGCGAGCCGACACCCTGGCCACGCGGATCTTGCCCCGGGTGCTGGCCCCGCGCATGGACCTCTTCAATTGCGAGCCCATCAACACTTATCTGCAGGGTGAAATCGCCGCCATCGGCAGCATCTACTCCAACCACCATGACATGATGGATGTGGCTTTCTTCAATGCCAGCGCCTGCTCGTTGATTCACTCCGGTCGACTGCCCCCCGCCGAGGCGCTGGCGGCCGTGCGGGTGTCTCTCGTTCCCCAGGAACGCCCGGCCGCTGACAGTGATCCGGTCGACACCCTGCAAAACGCCGGCACCCAGCAGCCCTCCTCCCCGGAGCCCAAGCCATCGATTGTCATCAATCCCTCCTCGTCGCAAATCCAAAAGGCCCACTTCTCGCTGGTCTGCGTGGCCAACACCCAGGGAATTCTCTCGTTGGAGATCCAAGGCGAGCCGACCTCGCGCGATGCCTTCCGGCAAATGGTGCAGGCGGCCCATTCGCAGGTGCGCGTTTCCTGGCCCTCCCCCCCTTGCCTCTTGCCTCTTGCCTTGGTCCTCGCAAGTGCACACGCGCCCACCGCGTGTCCATATGTCCCTGTTGTTGATGTTTTTCGCCCCCCCCCCCTCCCCCCCTCGATCGGTAGATCCAACTGCTGATCGATGCTCAGCAGCGTTTGGTGGACGATTGCTCGGTCAAGATCCTCTCGCCCGGGTTGTCATCTCCTGTCAAGGCAGCGCCCCCGGGGGCCGGCACCCTTGCCCCCGGCGAGGATCTCACCACGTCCGGCTCCCCCTCCTTCCCGCTGGTATTTGCCCTGGTTGAGGAGTATCTTGGGCCGTCGGTCCGCAATCTGCTGGCCGATGATACCCTTTCCCCGGTACGAGTGCCGTCTTGCTCCGTCTTCTTTATGCCCCCCCCCCTCCCCCTATCTCCCTTGCTCTCTGTCTCTCCTCCCCTCTTTGCCGAGTCCATTCTGACATCTTGACATTCGTGCAGCATGACTTTTCTCAGGCACTGCGCACAGCCGTGCGCGATGTGTCCCTTCGGTTGCGCGCCATGTTCGCCAGTCAGCCCATCACTTTCACCCATCTGAATGAGGCCCTTTCCCAGCTGTTTGTCCAGGAATTCAAGCGATTCTACTTCGGCCTTGGCTCGGGATCGGATGCCCAGCCGCGGCGGCGGTCCGGTCGCCAGCCCACCGAGCTTCGTACCCTGGCCCTGGTGGACAACCACATCCCGATCTCGATCCATGGCGCGGCCACCATGGCCTTCCTCGGTGCGGATGGCACCCCGGAGACCGCCTCTTCCTGTCTCAGCAACTTCCGAGTCCGGCCCACTCGCGCCCGCAGCAGGTATGTCCCCACTCCCTCCCTTCCTGGGCCCTTTCCCGGGCCCTTTCCGGGGTCCTTTCCGTGCCCCCCCCCCCCCCCCCCCCCCCGCATCTCCTTCGGTTGCTTACCTCGACCTCTATTCTGCCCCCCTTTCGCCCCAAACAGCAACTCCATCTCCCTGTGCTCCTCGGAGGAGCCGGACTTCCTCAAGGAGTTCCTGATGGAGGGCTTTGACCAGGTGTCCCGGCGGTCGAGCTTCGATCCCTGTGCGTTCTCCCCTCCCCCTCCTTCTGCCCCTTTTGTTCCCCTTGTTGCTCGTTTCTCTCTCTCTCTCTCTCTCTCTCTCTCTCTTCCCCCCCCCCGCCCTAAGTCTTCTCCTTTGGCTGACTCTTCCGCTCTCCCCCTCTGCACTCCCGTCCCACCCCCGTGGGACCGTCTCCTACACAGATGACCTCCTCTGCCGGCTCCAGCAGCGCCTGCTCCCGCCGCCGGAAGAGTCCCTCTACACCGTCAGCAATCGCATTGACCCGACGCTCTGTAACGGGTCCTCCGTTTCGGCCAATGCCCTGGCATTGCAGATGTCCCTCTACAGCACCGGGATCCCCCTCAGCGGTATCACGTCGGCCGTCGACGGTGTCCTATTTTTGCCAACGGTCCAGGGCCCGGACGGCCAGACCCCCGATGAGCCTCTGGTTGTCATGGACCCGGACCTGCCGGAGGAAATGTGTGCCGATGCCCGGGCGAGCATGATCACCTTCAACAATGAGCTGGTGTGTGCCCGAGTGGAGTCCACCTCCAATGTCGGGCTTTCCTGGCCTCAAGTTGAGTCTCGTGCGTGATCTGCCTTCCTCTCTTTCTCCTTGCATTGTGTTTCCTTCTCAACATCCCCCCCCCCTCCTTTTGGCCATACCTTCTTATTGACCACTTGCGTCCCGCCTACTCGCCTGCCATTTTCTACTTCCCCATCTTCACTCTCGCCCTCTCCTTCTCTCCTTCTCTCCTTCTCTCCTTCTCTCCTTCTCTCCCTTTCACTTTCTCGCTTTCTCTCCCTCTCGCTTTCTCTCCCTGTCTCCCCATCTCCCCACCTTCCCATCCCTTTGCTTCCGTCCTGCTCCTGCTTCAGTGCTGACTGCCTGCGAGGCGGCTTCCGCCACGCGTTACAATGATATGCTGTCGATTGTGCAGTCCCTGGGGCCGTGCGAGCCGAACCCGTTCATTCCGCTTGTTGGTGCGCTGCTCCCGCCCTATTCCCCCGTCGTCGCCCCCCCCCCCCCTCCCCGGCTCCGGGCTTTGCCCTGCTCATCGATCCTCGACTAACGTCCACGCCTCCCGCGTGTCCATCTCTGCAGAGGTGGTCCCTGTCCACAATGAGCTCATCTCTTCGCTCTTCGGGTTCTCCTACCCGATTCGCGCCTTTGAGGAGGAATACCGTACGTGCACACATGCATTGCTGCCCTTTGGCCCCCTGATCCTCTGCGCCCTCCTAACTCGACCACCCGACACACCGGCAGTTGTCTCGGTCAGCATTTCGTCCGACAGTTCTGGAGAAGCCGTCATCCATATCTCCGGTGCCAACCATGACTCCATCAAGGTCCGCCCGTGTGCTTTGATGATCCCGC